CATGCTGCCTGCCCACCCTGTGCGGGGGTCCATTTCTCAGATGAGACAGACGCCGAGGGGTGAGCTCACCTTTCCCATTCTCTTCTCCAGGCCGTGGGTCCCTCGTGGTGTCTAGGAACAAACACCTATGACCAATCTGGGAACCTGGTGCCCCTACACCCATGCATGGCCTTCTCTGCAGGGCCTGGCTCAGCCCACGAGTGGGTGTGGGGGCCCCAGGTAAGGGGGTACAGTGTGGGGCTCTGGGTGGTGTGGGGCTCCCCCACAGGTGGGTGTGGGGGCCCCAGGTCAGGGAGTGCAGTGTGGGGCTCCCCCACAGGTGGGTCAGGAGGTGGCCTGGTCCTACCCCCAGCATCCCTGAAACCCTCCTGCCCCCTGCCCCTGCAACCCAGGCCTCACGGGACACGCTGAAGCCGAAGATGCTGCCGTGTTCCTGCAGGAGTCTCTTCAGCAGGGTGCTCTTCCCCGCCCCCGATGGTCCACTCAGGACGACAGGCCTTGGTCCTGACATTCCTGTGGGTGAGGGAAAGGGGATCAGCGAGGCCTGAGGGATGTACCCAGAACTGGAAGTGGGTGGGGTGGCTGGTGCCCCCGCTACCCTGTGTGAAGTCAGCCAGGGACTGGGACGGAGCTGGACTTGGAACCCAGCGCCAACCTAGCTGTGCCTCACCCGGGGCTAGCTGGTGTCACACACATTAGCCACAGATGTGAGTTCCCTGGCCATGCAGTCCTGGACTTTGGAGCCTGGGAGGGTCCCCATCCCTGTGTCTCCAGGCACCACACCCAAGACAGCCTCGGTCAGTAAGCAGCACCTGAGCCCTGTTCTGGAAGCTTCCAGTGGGACGTGGGAACCCAAGGGACCACAGCTTCCTCACCCCTCCGATGCTTGGGCAGGTGGACCACCCCTAGCACTTGGCTCAAGACAGGGAGCGGTGGGGGGGGGGGGGAGCTCCAGATGACAGCCGCCCAGCTCTGCGCCCACCCGACCACCCCCAGCATGCCCAGCAGGACCCACCTCCTGGTGGGATGCAGACTCAGGGACCAGCCTGGGGTGGTTCCAGAAGAGCCCGCAGGGGGTGGTAATCCCTGCTCGCTCCCCACTCTCTGAGCACTAAATCCCTCCCAAGGCAGCCAGCCCCGCCCACTGAGCACAGGAAAAGGCCACTCCTCAACTCACCCACCCAGACACCTCGTGCTCAGGACACGTGAGCAGGGCCAGGTGCAGACTTGGGGGCTGGGGCACCCCTGGCGCACAGGGGCACGCAGGGGGACTTGTGCTGGGCTGGTGCAGCTCCCTCCTCTGCCAGCCCCTGCAGGGCTCCATCTGGGGGCCCCCAAGGTGGCTGGCAGACTCCCCTTGGCTGCCCTGTATCCCAGCCAGGGCGGCCTGTCCGCAGGTCCCTGGGCGGGCCCCGATCTCCTAATCCTCGATGTAGGCCAACACAGTAATCTGGCTAAAGCACCGCTATTCTGAGACCACCTCACCTTATGGACAAGCCCTGAGGAGGATGGGGGGGAAAGGGACCCTCTGCTGGAGACACAACAGGCAGGGACCTGGAAGAAGCCGTCAACACACTGATGAGCATCGCCTTCAGGTGACGCCTCTTCCAGGTGTCCTTCCCAGCAAGGATCCCACTGGACCCCCAAGTGAACTCTGGTGGTCCTGCCTTCCTGCCCACAGGCCCAGGCCCACTGCAGCTGCCCTCTCCTTGGCAGGACAGCCCTGGGTGTGTCTGGGGATGGGAGTGGAGGGAGGGGTCTGTCCGTCCCACACCTCGCCCTGGCCCTCCACCTAGGTCTTCCTGGGAGCCTGTGGTGTGTTGGTGCCTTGGGAACACGAGTTCCTCTGGGCAGGGCGGCCCAGAGGGGACACAGGGTGGTGGTCAGGGAGCTGTGCAGGAGGATGCCCAGATCCTGCTCACAGCAGCACATGTATGGGGAACCTGTGGACCCATCTCGGAGTGATCCCCCTAGGGATTCTCCACCACGGACCTCATGAGGCAGGTGCCTCTGCCCCAGGATGCCCCCTCCCCCACACACCTGCAAGCACCCTGCAGCCCCCAGCGGTAAACTCCCCGGTGGTGCCAGCCCTGCAGCTCCGACATCCCAGGACTGCAAACGCACCAGGAGAGACACGTCTTCAGTGAGGGCCAGACTGCACACATGGAAGTGCCACACGGTCTTACTCACCACCCCACCCTCCACCCTGTCCCAGGCGTGTGTGTCCCAGAGCCCCACCCTCCAGGCCTCCTCCCCGTCGGCCGGAACTGGCCGCCATGCCATGGGCAGCAGATGCACACTCAGGGTGGGCTGAAGGCAAGAGCGGCCTGCCTGGCTCTGAAGCAATGCCACGCCCTGCCAGCCTCTCCCGGCAGGGGCATCCTCCTGGGCCCCACCTGACCCTCAAGCCCAGGCTCCAGACCTCCCTGTTGCCCTCCCTCAAGGGCTAAAACCCTGACAGTGTGGGGTGGGAACACCGTCTGGCCAGCCATGGCCATGCTGCAGGAGTGGGGTCTGGCCAGCCAAGAGCACTAAGTCCTTCCTGACGTGGGGCCCACGGAGCTGAGCTCCCTCACCCCAACACAGGCCACTACCTGGGCCCCATGTCCAGTGGCCATGGTGGCACAGTCCTGACAGAAGCCACCTTTGACAGGAGCACACCCAGCTGGGATGGGACTGGAGGCCCCAAGGCCCCAGCTACATTCAAGTGTGTCCTCTTGTGAAGGAGGTTGCCCAAGTGGATCTGGACCAAAAGGGCTGGTCATACCTGTCCCCAAAAAGGCTGCATGGGCAGGGCTGTGTGTGGGGTACAACCAAGCCAAGAGGCCCTGAGAAACCGCATAGCTCTCAGGATACCCACAAAGTGGCTGATGTCTTCTTCCCCACTTCCAGTCCCCAGTGGGGTAGGACTACTCCCTCCTTGAGAGGAAGCTGGGCTGTCTGACACTGTGCAGGACTCTGGCACCTGGCCAGGGCCTGGGGCATAAGAACTAGAGAGCAGGAAGGAGCCCAGGCCCTCCAAGGGGAGGGACCATCCTTCTCCTAGAGACTGGGGTCTTGTCCTTGCACTCCTAATCGTTATCAGGACGCCCCCTTCCTTCCTGCTCCTCTTTCCATAGTCTGGATCTTCTTTCTTGGCAACACAACACTCAGCAAAAAGCAGAAGCCAACTGTTCACTTCTTTAAAAAAAAAAAAAAAAAGGAAAATGGGCGTGGCCAAAAAAGAAACCTACGGAGAGTCTTAACCTTCAGAACTGCCAGAACCTGACACCTCTTAACTGCTGCCCCACTGGCTCCAGCCAAAGATGAAGCACCCATACAATGTGTTCCCAGGACTGAAGAAAGCCCCACCTGGGCTGTGAGCGGGCCTGCTGTGTGCAGCTGACGTGGGAGGTTCCCACAAGGGGGCAGCACGGGGCACACTCAGCCATCGGTGGTGATAGGAAAGCACATGCATCCCAGGCCCCTCCTGGGGATGAAGGCCAGGGTCCCCCCCACCCCCACCCCCAGGGTCCCTCACGACCAGCCCATGGTCCAGGATATGTAAGACTGACAGAAGAGTGTCCACAAGTCCGTGCTTGGGAGGTGTGCTGCCCAGGAGCCTTGTAGGGGACTCACACAGCTACATCTTGGCCTGTGTCCTCCCCGCCCCATGGGCCCTACCCTGTGGGCCCTACCCCACACTGGCCACTAACACCTCAGCTCCCAGCTGCCCTTCCTTCCCGTGGAACAATGACGTGGCTTGCCTCCCTGCTCCTCCCCAAACCAGCACCCCCAATGACCTAGGCTCACTCCCTCTCCTGTTCCCAAAGTAGCATCTAATCACACCACACGCGCAGTTTCCAGCAGCCCAGACTAAAGCGTCGGGTACTGACGGAAGCTGAGCTCCACCTAGGACGCCCATAAGCCACAAAGGTTTGCCACCAACTCCCTGCTCCGCACAGCCTCGGGGCGCTGGACCCTGGGGGCAGGTCAGGAACCCGCAGCAATCCCGGGGGGCGGGGGGGAGGTGCGGGAGACCTCCGAGGGGCCAGCTCCATCTGTCCAGGACCCCTCTGGGTTTGCCCTCGGAGGAGGGAGCTGAAGCACAAAGAGCCAAACTACCAGGAGAGTTTCCCTTCTTGAGCCCAGGGAAGACTGTGGGGGCTTTGCGTGGCGGCCACAGACGGGCCTTCAGAACCCTCTTCTCCCAGAGTCTCCGGCTGTGCTGTGCGGCCCACCTTGGGGAGGGGTGTCAGGCTGCTCCCCCTCTCTGCCCCTCCGCATGCAGCAGGGTCCACAACGGCATCCAGCGTGAGGTCCTCAGGCCGCGGGGGATTTACAAGCTGTCTGGAGCTTCACGAGCCAGGAGAATCCCCTCCTACATTTTGAGAACTAACACAGGGAACCAGCTTTTAATTCCTCTACACAAGAGCAGCAGCTGCCAGAAGCACCTGCGCTGCGCGGAAACGCGCGCGCGTACGCGAGAAGGGCGGCCCGTGACAGGGGCCGAACTACATTCATGGACAAGCACACTGCCCTGCTCTGCTCGCGGGGACCGCGGCCGGCCAGCCCTGGGGCGGCCCGCAGGGGCCCCAGGGCACGACCCCGCGTGCTCAACCCCCGAGTCTCCGCGACAGCGGCGTCACCAGTGCGACGGGAGGGCTGACCGCGAACGGCCCCCGATCCAGCCCCGCGGCCTGCGCGCGCCCCGACGTTCGCCCGCCCGCTGCTCACCGTCCGAGGGGACCCGGCCCAAGGCGGCCGCCGCCAGCCCGGCCAGCGGGCGTCGCAGCATGAGGGGCCGCCTCCACCGCCCGCCTGCGGGGCTACGTCAGCGCCGCGCCGGCCCGCCTTCGTCCGTAGCGACCTACGTCACGGCGCCGAGCCGGCCCGCTGGCGCCCGCGGAGGTCAACGTCACTGAGCATCGCCGGGCCGTGTCAGTACGTAATAGTACGGCGCCGGCTTCGCCCCGCCCCTCGTACGTGTCGTCAGCGCCGCGAGACGCGACGCCTGCGCAGGACGGCGCGTTGGGTTATCCCAGAGTGTGTGCGCTGTACCTGCGGTCGCCTTCGTTCCCCAGTGGCCGGCGGAAGCCCGGACGCTGGGAGTCGAGGTTGCTCCGGTGAGCAGGGCAGGGTGGTGCCGGAAAGGCGCGGGCGTCGCGGGGTGGCAAGGACTTTCCCCGAGGGAGGGTCCGAGCCCCGCCTCCGGCCCTCGAGGGCGACAGAGCATGGGGGGGCATCCGCTTGGATAGTTCGTTTTCCCGCGAAGTGGCTTCCTGAGGCGGTGGGAGGCCTGCAGATACCCTTGCCCATCAGGTAGGGGACCCCACAGCAGAGCTGCGCATCTCGGCCGGGAGGTCTCTCTGCCAGGGATCTGAGTGTCCGACATCCCAGGCAGGGGTTGGGCTGTCAAATTCCTGGCTTGTCGTGCACGGATCTCTGCACCGACGGTTTCCTGGGGGTCAGGGCTCAGGGACAGTAGTTCCAGGTCTCGGCTCTCCTTTTATAATCCCGACATCGCGGGGTGTCGTGAGAAGTAGGTGACCTTGGGAACCAGGGAAACCCCCAAGGTGCATCCTCAGAATGGCTTCCCTGCGTCTGTAACCCACTACCGAGAGTCTGGGCCCTGCCGTAGACTTACGGACTCAGGCTTGGGAGGTAGGACCTGGGCATCCGGGGTTCAGGAACCCCACCCCCCACCCCCACCCCCACGGATGATGCTAATGGTAAGTCAGGGCTGAGAGCCTGACGGTTTACTGGGAGGGACTGGCAGAAACCCGGTGATAACTTCCCTGTTGTAGACGTCCTTAGGTCTGTGGTTTCTTCCTGGCTGGGATTTGATGGTTAGGTGGGAAACCTTGTCTTTTAAAAAACTCTCAAGGGGCGCCTGGGTGGCTCAGTCAGTTGACCATCTGAGTCTTGATTTCAGCTCAAGTCATGATCCTAGGGTTGTGGGTTTGAGCTCTGTGTCTATTCTCTCTCTGTTTAAGGTTCTCTCTCTCTGCTCCTTTCCCCTATCTCTCTCTGAAATAAAAACCTAAGACATAAATAACTAGTCAATCAGTGTTTTTTCTTCTTGTCCAGCAGGTTGCACACCAGGCCAGTGGCTGATCCTGAGCCTCCATGTACCACAGGGGCCCCCCGGGAAGAATGGCCACCATGGGCAGTCTGCTTGGGTAAGCAGGGACTTCCAGGCCCCTAGGGACTGCTGTCATGGGGCCGCCTAGCCAGCGTGTTTATCTGAAGAGTATGTACAAGTACATACAGATGATATGGTAGGTGTCAAGGGCAGAACAGAAGCGACTTGTGAGCACTTAGCAGCAAACACATGGTGGTGGTGGTGACTTTCCTATTCAGATCGCACAGCCCAGCCTGACTCTGGGTCCTTCCCACTGCTCCCACTGGAACTGTGTCCTCATCTGCCCTTCCCCTGATGTCGTGTCCTCTCCCTGATGAGAAGTATGGTGTGGTCACAGTGTTGCCACAGAGCTAAAGGAGAGCAGGGTCCTAGTCGGTTCTGTGGCATCTAGGGAGAGGGATGGGGCACCGGAAGCTGCGGGTAGTGTGAAGCTAGGTAAGGGACTCCAGTGCAGCGTTCCCAAGAAAGTTCATGTTAGAAACGCTGTTACCGTGAGGGAACACCCAACATCCCTTCCAGCCCTTCTGGAAGCCTCCCCAGTCCACCAACCCAGGGTCCTCCGAGGTGACTGTGTCCTGTCCACCATCTGCATGACTGATGGCAGGGACTGGCTTTCTGTTGCCATACTGAGTGCCCAGTGACTTAACGGCAGATGCAGTGTGGTTCTTGCCCTGATAACAGCAGTCTTGGGGAGGAGATGTACCCTCGGCCCGAGGGCTTGCTGGGAAAGCTGGGTGTGGTAGGAGCTCCACACAAGGCAGGTGGCACTGTGCCAGGCTGTGAGGTTGCAGGACACGCGGTCAGCCTGCCTTGTGGAAGGGGCAGGCCTGAGAGCTGAAAGACACCCCCACCTGCAGAGTACGGGGTCTCTGTGGAGCCGATGTGGGGACCAGGTGGGAGGTGTGGGCTGGATGGGGCTGCTCATGCAGCGAGAGCCTTGGCAAAGTCAGGTGGGGAGCTACTGGGATGCCTGCCTGCCATGGGTGTGTGAAAGAACACTGGGCAGACAGGGCCACCTCTGGCATACAAGACATTTCAGGGAGTTCTCGAACTCTGCTGTCGGTCAGGTGCCCTCATCCTCAGACCCGGGCTAGAGCCGAGTTTGCAGGAAGGGTAGACTGGAGTAGACCTTGGGGGTCATGCGGCCCAGCAGAGTGGGGTGACTGGGGCTTCCCTTGTCCTGTCACTCGAGAGCACACGCCCTGCTGTACGGAGGGAGGCCGAGTATCTGCCACACTCAGAAGCCAGGTGGGCTCTGGGTATCTCGGTCCACTTGTGCTGCCCCAGCAGCAGGCCACGGGGGCTGGGAGTGGGGAAGCTGGAAGTCTGAGCTCAGGGTTCTGTGGAGGCCTGTCTTCCTGGTTCCAAGTCCTCACAGCAGTGTTCCGGTCTCTTGCCTTTTAGGGGCACCGGTCCCACTGTGAGGACCCTTGTGACCTCCTCTCACCCTAACCACCTCTGAGAGGCCCCACTTCCAACAGCACATCATGGGAGTCGGGGCTTCAGTGTCAGAATCCGGGGGAGACACGAAGGTCCGGGCCACAGCACTAGGTCTCTGTTCCCCTGGAAGTCTGGTTCCTGCCCGATGCTGGCGTCCAGTGCCTGAACTGTACAGCCAGCCCTCACCAGGGATGGTGCCTGAAGCCCACTGGGGTCTGCGCTGCCGACCTCTGCCTTCACACCTCTGAAAGCCTCGTGATCTTGCCCAGCTGCTATGACCATGCCCTGTTCTGGTGCAGGTCACTGTGTGCACCCTCGGGAGCTGGACAGCTGGGCCCTGTGGGTACTCCAGTCCCCGCACCAGCCACTGACCCACGCACATGCACGTCTGTGTCTGTAGCCTACTGCGGCAGCACGTGCTGATGGGGGCTGCCCCTGCGTGTCGCCACCTGCACCTGTCCTCCCAGATCGCTGACAGCAACAGGGCCTCACTCACGCGCGTGCGCCGGCAAGCCTATGCGCGCCTCTACCCTGTGCTCCTGATCAAGCAGGATGGCTCCACCATCCACATCCGCTATCGGGAGCCACGGCGAATGCTTGAGGTGGGTCTCCCTCCCCTGTACTCCCTGGGGTGTGGGTCCTGGCAGGCTTGGCCATAGCAGCTGCTCCTGCAGGAGCTGTGGCCTCAGCACCCATGGCAGCCTAATGGGTGAGGGGAGACGGGGGCCATGAGGAGAGGGAGGAGGGAGAGTGGACTTAGCTCCATGCGTCAGGACCAGAGAGCAGCCCTGAGCTGCGTGTCTGACCAGCATCAGTCTTGGGAAAACAACTGAGAGCTTTGAAGGCAGACAAACCTAGCGAAATGTGAAAACCTGAACCACACAGTGGAGGACAAGGTGAAGCAGAGACAGGGACAAGGCTCTGGGCCCTCTGACCGAGCCCCTCCCCACAGATGCCCGTGGATCTGGACGCCCTGTCCCCAGAGGAGAGGAGGACCCGGTTCCGGAAACGCATGGCCCAGCTCACAGAGCAAAAGCAGCAGGAGCCAGAGCTGGGCGACGACTTTGATGTGGAGCGGTACAAGCAGTTTTGGACCAAAAAGTGACTGTGCCTGGAAGCTGGCCGGGTTGGGGACACCGTGGGTGGGGAGGGTGAGCCTTTAAACATAGTGTGTTCACAAAGCCGCCTCTGCCTTGCCTATCCTTCTGGTGTGTGCGTGTCTGGCTTGGGGGTCTCTGTGGCCACAGGGTCGGGTGAGAACTGCAGAGCCAGCCCTCGGGGCCTGGAGCCCCCTCCCCCCCTGCACTGCCTTCCAGCAGGGCACCACAGGCTCTCCTGGCGGGAGTGTGGCAGCCACAGGGGTGGAAGTGGGTGGAAGGAACAGGGTGTCTGGGATCCCTGCTGGTGGCTGGCCCACCCTGCCCAGCACTGAGGCGCTCTCTGCCATACCCAATGCCAACAGGAGGTGCCATCGGCCCTGTTGTGGACTGACTCTGCTTGCAGCCCCGCCCGGTGCAGCTACAACAGACCAGCCTTCTGTGGTTGACTGCTACTTTTCCCTCTTGTGGTGGGTGTCACCTTGGTCAGGCTTTTGCAAGACTGGAGGCTCAAGTCCTAACCTTTCCAAGTGCAGCTGGCCCAGCCCCAGCCTCGGGCTGCCCTTGGGTGTTGACTGTGGGGCGCTGCCTGACAGATGGTGGGGAAGGTGTTCCCGGCATGACTGGAGAGGGGTGCTGGCGTCTGATTGTGGCTCCCAGAGAGGGATGTAGGGCTAAGCACCCACCTTTGGACTCCTGAGTCCCCACTGGTCCACTGAGCACATTGGCCCTGAACAGGTTTACAGGGACATGCACCGCCCCTGCACCTGTGCCTGCCCTCCAGCTCCCTGCTTGTGAGATGCCCAGTGGCGTTGTCTGATCCCAAGGTAGCCAGGACGTTTCTGAAGATGGCAAGGCACTTTACCTGAAGTGGGGTCACAATGATGGATGCAGGAGATTTGTAGCCAAAAGGCAAGGGTGGGTGTTGGTAATGAGAAATTACTAAGAGGAATCACCCAGGTAGGGAGCGTTCTGGCAGATGCCACCTAATGGGATCATTGCTGAAGGCAGGCTTGGCAGCAGCCCCACATCTGCATGGGATCCTGCTGAGATACTGAGGCGGAGGGAGGGGCGGGGAGGAGGCGGGCCTGGGCAAGCTGACCAGGGGTCATGGGATCCTGCTGGTACTGAGGGCAGGGGTCTGGGCAAGCCGGACCGGAGGCCCAAGGCCTGGCTGGAGAGCTCTGGAGACCTGAGCAGTCTGGTCAAGCAGAGAATTCCATCCACGCTACAACCTTCGAGGACCCAGGGACTTCCTATACACGGACCCCCAACTCCCTACCTCCGCAAGTACCACCCCCCCTTCCAGGCCCATTTGGGGACTTCAGACTTTGTGCTGACGGCTTCCAGTGTCCAGACCCTGGTGGCTGACCCTGCCTGGCCAACCACAGGCGGCCCCCGTGGCCTACGCGCTCCCCAGAGGAGCCTGCGGTGTCAGACCGGCGCTCTACGCTCCCGCGCTGGAGCCCCCACGGGGCAACCCCCGGCCCAGGGGAGGCGTCGGCTCTCCGGGCCACACGTGGGGAAGCCCAGACTCCAAGACGACTTAGCGGCAGTGCACGACGCCGCAGGGGTGCCTAGGGAGCTTCCTCCGGATCCGAGCCGCTTCGAGCCGCCCCCTTCCGGGACTGCTGATCCAGGGGGCGAGCCTGGACCGCCAGGAGCCTAGGTGCGCGCTTGGAGACCCCCCCACCCCGATCTCCGGGGGCGCCGGTCGGGGGTTCCCAGGGGCCGCCCCTCTCCCAGCGCAGCCCTGGACCCCGGCGTCAGCCGCCCAATGTGGCTCCTAACAACAGCTGTTGTGCCAGCGGTATGCTCAGGACCAGGCCCAGCGCCGTGGACCGCTCCTTCCCCAGGGCGGGGCGCAGGCGCGCTGAACGAACGCCAGGGGAAGTGGAGCAGTGAGCCGTGCGCAAGCGTGCCAAACATTGGCGCGGGAGAGGAAGCAGTGCGCATGCGCGCGTGGCGCTGCGAAGCCAGCGCGGGTGTGACGTTCAGGCACGCGACGCGGGAGCTGGCGCCGGCGGCGGCGGCGCCGCCCGGGGCGGCGAGGCCGGGGCTTTGGACGGCCGGAAACCATGTTCGGCTCCAGCCGGGGCGGTGTGCGCGGCGGGCAGGACCAGTTCAGCTGGGAGGACGTGAAGACCGACAAGCAGAGAGAGAACTACCTGGGTCAGCGCGGTGCCAGGCCCGGGGCTGGGGGGTGCGTGTGCGGGGGACGAGGGGGCGCGAGGAGCGCGGGAGCTGCACGGGCCGCGGGTGCGGGAAGCGACGGTGCCGCGCAAACCCCGCGGGCCGAGCCCTTGGCGCTGCATTTCCACAGGCAACTCGCTGATGGCCCCTGTGGGCCGCTGGCAGAAGGGCCGCGACCTCACCTGGTACGCCAAGGGTCGGGCGGACGGCGCGGGACTGAGCCGGGAGGAGGAGCTGGCGGCCGTGAGGCAGGCAGAGCAGGAGGCGCTCATGGCGGCGCTGTGAGTGAACCCCGCGGGGTTGGGGGAGCTCCGGGTGGGGGTCGCGGCGGGGACGGAGGAGCAGGGGTCCAGGCGAGGCCGGCCGCTCCCTGAAGCTCGCGCGTGCCGCCCCCGCAGAGGTTACAAGAACGTGCGGAAGCAGCCCACCGGCCTGAGCAAGGAGGTGAGGGGATCCTCCTGGGGGGCGGGGGCGGGGGCGAGGCGGGGCAGGGCCGCGAGCTTCCTGCCGCAAGCACCCTCTGGCCCTCCGCGCAGGACTTTGTCGAGGTGTGTAAGCGGGAAGGAGGGGACCACGAGGAGAAGGGAGTGGACCGGCTGCTGGGCCTGGGGAGCTCCAGGTGTGTTGCGAGGGGGGTGGACTCTGCCCAAGTTGCCCAAATGGAAGTGCGACCTGATTAGGGAGGCCGGGGCGTTCTCACCAGGGGGGCTTATCACCCGCGTTCCCGCAGTGGCTCCGCAGGCCGAGTGGCGTTGTCCCGAGAAGACAAGGAGGCCGCCAAGCTGGGGCTCTCCGTGTTCACGGTAAGTGCCCATAACACCCGGGGATTCCGCGGTTCAGGGTCAGGGGCTGGCCGTCTCTGCTCGTGGGGCACTCTCGTTCCCCGGTCCGGGAAACCGGAGCTGGTCCTCCCCGTTGGCATCCCGGGGCGCCTCCCACGCACCCCCCCCAAAGTGGCCTCCCACCGCAGCACCATCGCGTGGACAGTGGCCGGCTGGCGTCCTCTCCGGCCTCCTCCAGGAAGAAGCCTAGGTCTGAGGACGAGAAGGCGGAGCCGGGGTAAGGGCCGCCCCCCAGCTCCCAGGGAGAGGGTGGGGCTGCACATAACTCCTGGTTCTCTTAGTGGCGCGGCTGCAGGCTGCCTTTGGGTTAGTGCCCTTCCCAGCTCCTGTCCCTTCTTCCCTCAGGGGCCTGGGTCCCCATTGCCTGCTGGGGTCTCTGGAGGGAGGCGCTCAGGTGGAAGGGCGAGCCCCTGCGCTCTGCTGGTGCCCTGCATAGGGGGTGTGGGGTTGTCACCTATCGGGGCATACGTGGTGGGGTGGGGTGGGGGCCAAGTGGCATTTGCCGCAAGGGACTGTCCCTCGAGCTGCCTGTACCTGCCGCTACTTAGCGGTAGGAGGGTGGTCGGTACCCGGTGCGACCCTCTCACCGCCCAGCACTGTGTGCCCTGCCCCTCCCTGCAGCCCCGAGGGCCACAGGAAAAGCAGAAAAGAGAAAAAAAAGAAGAAAAAGAAGAAGCACAAGAAAGAGAAGAAGAAAGAGAAGGCACACAGGAGCAGGGGGACTTCCCCACTGCCCCCAGCTCCTGCTGGGTAGGTGTGCCTCTGCTTTGGGGCAGCCTGGCAGGTGGGGTAGGCAGGGCAGCCTCACACCCACCCACCGGGTTTCGGTTTCTCCGTCTCCCCAGGCCCGGGCGTCGCAGGCGCGACTCGGACTCCAGCTCCTCCTCACCCAGCTGTAAGAGGCGGCGGCGTGGCCACCACAGTGACTGAAGCCAGACCTGCTGACAGTTTCCAGCCTCCAGCAGACCCCCTCCCCGCCCCCCCTGCAGGGGCCCTGGCCCCAGAGACAGCCCCTGGCGGGAGGGCAGGGGGCATAGCCTGGGGAGCCCCCGTGCGGCTTTGGGGTGGCCAAGTACAGCTACTTCTATTTTTCTTTAATTCACTCTTTGTACTTAAATAAAGTTATTTTAAGGGGAAAGTATTTCACACTCAAGGGTAGGTTGTCACATGTTCCAGTAGAAGGGGGCAGGGGAGAACATGACGGTGTCGGGTTCCAGTAAGACCAGCCAGAGACCCTGGTGGGCCTGTCCCTGGGCAGTGAGGTCAGATGTACCAGGAGACCTGGGTCACATCTCACCCTGGGCGACAGGCTGGACATGTAGATCATGAGGCTGAGGCTGAAGACTTGTACCTGGAGTCTCCCCCACCCCACTCCAGGTGCCAAGGGACCTGCCCCCTGGACTCCTTGGAGAGGGGGGCAAATTGGGGCACTAGCTCCCTCCCCCAGGCCTCCCCTCCTCTGCAGGGAGGGGACCTCTTACAACCCAGAAGAGTGAGCACAGGACCCAGGCTGGGTCCCTAATGAGGAAATATGCATCTTTTGCTTCGGATTTGAAAATTAATCAAACTAAAGAAAATTATGTCTGTCTAACCCTGGCCCTGGCTTTTCAACCTGTTAGTGGGGGGAAGGGCCAGACTGGGCATCCCCAGGGCAAGGGAGCCTGGACTCCAGCCAGTCCATAGTCACAGCCAGCTGGGGAGTCAGGGCACTCAGGATTCAAGGATGGCCTACATGGCAGCAACACAGAGCTTGGCCAAGGTTTCCTGCCCTCCATCCCCTCAACAGGTCAGGTGATATGGGCTAGAGCAGCCCCCCCCCCCCCCAAGTCCCCATGCAGTGACCCTGCTGTCCCTATCATGGCCTGGCACTGCCAGCAGGGAGGCCAATGAGGCAGTCACTGCCAGGGCACTGGGCCACGTCCACACCTGCCACGAAGCCAGTGGCCTGGGTGCCCTGCTCCTGTTCCCAGAGATGAGCTGTGGCTAGTGGCACCAAGCATTGGAGAGCCGTGAACTAGTTAAGAGACTTTATTCTAGTAGCTATAATTACAGTGCTTGTTTGTCGAAATGAAAACTGAAAACAAGTATACAAAACAGTTGATTACTAATTGTGTATTGAAAGCAGTAAGAGGTTCCACGACACCAAATAAACCAGTTCTGAGGATTTCCCCAAGATAAAGTTGAACGGCTCCAGCTTCTTCAGTGTTTATCAAAATACGAAAGAAAAAAGTAGACGTCGTCATTTCGGTGGCAAACCTGACCCTTGCAGGCTGAGGGAGTGAAAGCACATGTGGACGGGGGCTCCGGGGGTCCCCCTGAGGGCCCTGGGAGTGGTGGCCGCAGCCCCCAGCCCATCCCCCCGGGCGGCCATGTGGGCACAGGGGCGAGGACAAACGCTAGGGGAGGCAGGACCACCGGAGACAGCAAATCACGGGGACCCTGTCGTGACCATGCAGGATAGACCATGGCTGGCTCTGCCCCGTCACGTTCCCGACAGGAAACGGATCACCGGTGGACCAGACGCCAGCCCTTTACCGCAGAACCTAACCAGGCACGTTTCTCCCTTCCGTGTGTTCAAGTGTTCTCCTTGCCTTGTGTTTTTATCTGTTTTAAAAATGCACTGAGTTCGGGTTAAAAACCAACCACCAAAATCGAGTCCAACACAGACCTAACGCCCATAGGAGAAGCGAGCGCCAGGCTGGCCCTGACAGCAACTCCTGGGGGCCCCGTGAGCCTAAAATCCCTTCTCAGTACTGAACAGTGGGCTGATTCTTTTTACAATAAAAAAAGCTGAGTAATATTGCATAGGAGTACCAGAAACTGCCTCGTTGGGAACAGAAACTATTTACATTAAATAAAAACCCGGCTGCAGGCTGCGTCTGCACATTTACAGCATGGTGAAGCACACTGTGACCGACCATGGAGACAGCTTCTGGCACTCACACCACATGAGAGTAAAGCAGGGTGGAAGGAGGGAGTGGGGGGGAGGGGACGCGGCTCACTTCTGGTTCCGGAGCTGATTGGACAGCCAGTCCAGTCCCTCATAGAGCCCGTCCCCGCTGGTGGCACAGGTGGCCTGAATGTACCAGTTCCTGTGGCGCAGCGAGTGCAGGCCCAGCTTGTCCGTGATCTCGGCTGCATTCATGGCGTTCGGGAGGTCCTGGTGGTGGGAGAGGCCAACGACCTCCAGTCAGTGGGCAGCAGGGACCACCCCTTCCCACCTCCCACCCCACATGGCCGGGGCCCACGGGCGCGCATACCTGCTTGTTGGCGAACACCAGCAGGACGGCATCCCTGAGCTCGTCCTCCGCCAGCATCCTCATGAGCTCCTCACGGGCCTCGTTCACGCGCTCTCTGTCGTTGCTGTCCACCACGAAGATGAGGCCTGCGGAGCCGTGGGCGTCAGGACGGGCGCCGATGGCGCCCCAGCCTCTCCCGCAGGCCACAGCCCCTCCGCTCACCTTGTGTGTTCTGGAAGTAGTGGCGCCACAGGGGCCGGATCTTGTCCTGGCCGCCCACGTCCCACACGGTGAAGCTGATGTTCTTGTACTCCACTGTCTCCACGTTAAAGCCTGTGGGGGTCACGACCCCGGTCAGCCTGCCACCCCAAGCAGTGAGAGGCCCATGCCCTTACCCTGCTGCACCCCCCTTGCACCCCCCTGCCCCCTGCCCGCGGTCTCCTCACCTATGGTGGGAATGGTGGTCACAATCTCACCCAGCTTCAGTTTGTACAGGATGGTGGTCTTCCCTGCAGCATCCAGGCCCACCATGAGAATGCGCATCTCTTTTTTGCCAAAAAGGCCCTTGAAGAGGTTTGCGAAGATATTTCCCATGCTGTAGACTGGGGGGAGCAACACTGGCCAGAGAAACCTGTGGAGACAGGGGTCCCTGGGTCTCTGTGCTGCCCAGGGCCAGCAGCGCAGGAGCGCTCTGGCGGAAGGACAGGTCTGACCTCTGACAGCTCACAGGGTGGAAGCTGACCACACCTGGTTCCCAAGTAGCAGAAGGGAGACTGATGTACAACCCGCAGAGGGAATGCTGTTCACCGAATGGCTGTGGCTTTCACAGGACGCAAGCTCCTCAACCATGCAACAAGAGGGGCCAGAAACAACCATCCCGGCAGTGACGCAGGCCAGAACCAACCATACCAACGTGACGTGCTCAGAGCTTAGCGCTCACCCACAGACCGGATTCGGAGCTAGACAGCATCTAGGCTCTTGGGCAGCACACAGGCCATGAAGTCCCAGGGGGAGCGACCCCATGGGCCACATCAGGGACTGCGTTTGCCACAGGTTCCCCTCGTTCAGAGCAGAAACACTGGGCCCAAGGGAGTGGTCTTCCATCCCATAGCCCCCAGGGCACAGGAGCCACCCGGGCCTGACCTCCCCATAGGCGGGCACTTTCATTTCCAAACAGGCACCTAGAAGAGCTGGCCACCTTCTCAAATGCACACTGTTTGGGAATCTGGGTGTTTATGGCTGGCTGCCTTTATGAAGCCAAGCACCCAGGCGCTGGGCAGCCTTTACACAGAGTGCCCGCAAGGCCAGGAAGAAGCCTGGCCATCCGGCCCCCACCCCCAGGAGCAGCCAGGAGCTCCATGGTCTGCGGGAGTTGCGGAGGGTACAGGTCTGCCCTGTGTCACCAGCTGAGACCACACACGTTCCCACTCCTGGTCAGCACCCAACACACCCACTTTACCGCCAGGACGCCTGTCAGTTCTGTGCCAGTCCAGTCAAGCACTGGGTGGAAATCACCCACCCCACTGTGAACCTGACGCTCCCACGGGCCTGGGCATGCCAGCAGAGGCCTTCAAGCTGGTTTCTGTGCACTTGTTGCTGTTGTTAAAGATTTTATTTTTAAGTCATCTCTACACCCAACGTAGGGCCTAGCCTCACAACCCTAAGATAAAAGTCTCACGCTCCAGTGAATGAGCCGGCTGGACACTGCGCCTCAGTGCATTTTTGACAGTTTATTGCTGCTATTACCTATTCAAAAAATTAAAATTTAAAACGACCTTTACTGTAACGCTTCCTTTTCTGCAGACAGCCCATTCTCCTAATATACACAGAGGATGACAAATCCTTTGGGAACACAGAACGGACCAAACACACACATTCAAACTCGGCTCGCTGTTGAAATCACTAATGAATAGGTGCCCAAGCAACAAAGACAAACAGAAAAAGGGGGAGACAGGTTCTGGGAGCAATGAGAATGTGGCTGGACCTTCCAGGAGCAACAGACCCAGGAACTCTGCCACCCACGTCCAGGCGGGAGGGTGTGGGTGCACACTGTGCTGCACACAAGGACAGACACCCACAGGCCGCCGAGCCAGGACCCACGGCTGCCTGCATCTGGATGACCGCAAACAGCCATGCAAGTCTCCCTCTAAGAGCCACCAATGGAAGAGAACAAAAGAAAAGAAGGAATTTGGGGGGAAGGAAGAGAGAAGACTATTTCAAAGGAAAAAACAAACAGAACCCCCGACCCTCACATGGCTGCAGCCAACAAGGTGGGGACCCGGTGCCCACAAAACAAGAATGGGGAGTCAGAACACAGCAGACCTGACTGCCAAGGTGAAACACACAAACCTGTGCACACGTGATGGAAAAAAAAAGGATACTTTCGCTATGGGGATGTCTTTTTAGATACAACACCAAAGGCATGGTCAATAGAAGAGTTGATGAGCTGAACTTTGTGAAAGCTACAAACTCCCAATCCGGGAACAACCAGGTCAAGGGTCAAGAGAACGGGAAGATCAACCAGACAGAATATTTGCAAGAGACACGCCTGATCACGGACTGCCATCTAAGAAATGCCAAAAAAAAACACTTAGAACTTGATACCCAACAGACTGAAACTGCACGTAAGAATTTTAAAATGGGTCAATGACCTTAACAGACCCCTCCCCACAGAAGACCTACAGATGGCAAATGAGCACAAGAAAAATCTCCAAGTCAGTATGTCTTCGGGAAATGCAAACGAGAACACCCAGCTGCCCACTACACACCTATGAGAAGGACCCAAACCCCCCACACCCACACAAGCTGCATAGCATGGAGGGGGGGTCACAGGAACTCTGCCTTGCTGGTGCGGACCTGAAACCACACAGTCACCGTGGAAGGGTTTGATAGTTTC